AGATTATGCAGGACCAATTGACAGGTTCTACTATTTAATCATAGTTGATAGCTACAGTAAATGGCCGGAGGTGTTTCGGTGCAAAAATCCTACTACAGAAACGACTATAAATTTCCTCCACGAGCTATTCGCTCGGTTTGGCGTAGTGGACTGTTTAGTAACAGATAACGGAACGCAATTCTTGTCAGCAGATTTCCAAGAGTTTTGCGAAATCTATCAAGTAAAACATATAAAATCCCCGCCTTACCACCCAAGATCAAATGGACAAGCGGAGAGATTCGTGGATACACTCAAAAGAGCATTACGAAAAGCGTACGATGTGCCTACGGAGAAAGCATTACAGCAATTCCTACAGGTATATAGAATAACGCCAAATAATGCGACACCATCAACATTATCACCAGCATATATCATGTTTGCTAGGAAAATCAGATCAGCGTTCAATAAATTACTACCAAGTAAAACAAAACAAGTAACACAGTCCTACACACCAAAAAGAAAATTCCACCAGGGGAAAAAGTTATTTAAGGCATACAAAAATAATACCTCTTGCTGGGAACAAGGGATAATTGAGAAAAGAATTGGCAATATGATGTACATAGTTCAAGGAAAAAAATTCTCACACAGAAGACACGTAAATCAAATAAGGAAGAGACCGTTACAGGATGCTAAAGGTCCACCTCAAGAAGAGGTATTGGGCACGATTTTCGACACATGCGATATAAAAAGACCGCAAACAATGCCTGAACGAAGAAAATCGTCTAGAAAAAGAAAATTTACTGAACCTTTGGAAATAGATCCAAAGAAAAAAATATATTAAAAAAACCCTGCTACGCAAAATTTTCGGAAGGGGGGTGTTATGGGACCTTACCCATAATAACATAATGGACTACTCCATACGTAATAAATACTGCGCCTCAAGAGGAATCAGAGAGTTCAGTCTGAAATCTGGTGTGAAGCCTGTCAGGAGTCTGTCAGTCAGAGCGAGCGAGCCAGCCAGTTTAGTCAGAGGCAGTTCGAAACAGAGTTGTGTTCAGACAATTACTACTAATCCTGATTGTTCGTATTAACACTTTCTACGTATATATTCCTGTTTGTAATATATCTGTTTTATTCCATACCCGTGTTCGAGTTCTTCTTTATTGGTTCTACCTTGGACTATCACCATGTACAAGGAACCGGACCATGACAGTAGCGACGAGGAAACCAACTCTCTACACGGAGGACATATCATTTTTTTTATTGTTGTTTATAATTTATGGTGACACCTCTTGAGCATAATAATTATAATTCAAGACCTTGGCAATACGTTCGATTGTTCACCTGCTGGTACACATTTCCTTGGCGATTCACCGCATCCTTTTGCTTTTCTTGATAACTTTTCAACTTCGGGGACGAACTCAGGCGTCCTGTTAACCCAAGAGCTTTTCTTATGAGTCTTACGTTCTGGCCTGAAATTGTCCTTGTCGCCTGAGGCACCATATGCCTTTGCAAGGTCGTTGGTTTTCGGGTATTTAAAGCGTTTCTGGTTGGCATGAAGGCTCTCCACAGAAGAAGCTCGGTTATCGTACTCTGAAGACATGTCGATTACGAAGCACCTCGTGTGTCAATAGCCACAAAGCTACTGAGGTGCAGAACTTTCTAATGGCAGTCTCAAAACCTCGCTACGCTGAGACGTCACGGCGCTGTTGCAACGTAAAAATTCTGGATTTATCTTCGCTATAATGTATATACTCACGCAACAACTGCTACACGTCTAGGCTCATTGCTACTTACATTAAACTGTCTTGAGATCTTCATTAGTGTTGTAGGGCCTCATGTGCACCTCACTCTCCAAGACGCCCCACACAAAATAGTCGAGAGTATGGCAGTTTAACGATTAGCAGGGCGGGAAATAAGTCAGGCAACCAGTTCTACGGTGAGCAAGTGGACCCTATTGATCACATAAGCTTTATAATTTAAAACCTCCTTGACAATACGCCCGATTATTTCGCCTGCTCGTGCCCATTTCCTTGGCGATTTTCCTCATGCTTTTGTTGGGGTTCTCCTGTTCATTTTCGACAGCTTTTACTTTTTGCATATAATCGAGGAGTTAACGTCGCCAAAGCAGCTCGTGAGGTTTGTCATGTGTATAGTGTTATGGTTACCTATCCATATTAGAATGAACTCTTCGTCCTTCATAAATACTAACCCGCGAGACTTCCTAAGGAAAGCAGTCAGGACGCAGTGTAGCCTGATAGTCCAGACGGACACTTCTATCTATTTTGTATATTGCTGACTAATAACACTCTTATTTTGGATATATGTTCTGTTATTTCAATACACTTGTTCAACGTACCTTCTTCTGTGTCTCTCTTTCTGGCTCCTAACATATAGAGATGGCGCAGTGCCTCAAAGTATTGGAGCTGCTCGGCCTGGGGGACTATGATCAAAGTGTAGTATGCTGCCTTTGTGAGCTTCCGAGTCGGCGTCTGTCGAACTCTCTGCATTAGCAGAGAGGAACCCGGGCGAAGCTTTGCCGAAGGGCAAGGTTTCGTTCGGGGAGGTAGACAGGGCCTGAATCCGTCAAGGCGGGTTCAAAATGGCTATATTTTTGGCCGAGCCTACGGGCTCGGGGATACCCACATTAAACCGGCCTTGTGCCACATTCTATCCTCGTGGGTGGATCGATAAATACTGTGCCTCAAAGTACCGCCCGACGTAGGTTTTCGCGCTTCATAAAAGGAAATCTTGAGCTGGAGGATGGGGAGCGCCCCGGTGGATCAGTTGAGCTTGATGAAGAGTGATTAAACAAGTTTCTTCATAAAAATCCACGTCAGACGACCATTGAATTAGTTAAACAGATGAATTGCTATCATAAAACTGTGGTAAATCATCTACATTCAATAGGGAAGGTTCAGAAATTTGGTTCAGGATTGCTACACGCGTTGAATGATCACAGCAAGTAATCAGAGCGGAACAATTGAAGCCAGTTTGCTGGCTCGGCATCGCTCAACATACGGTCATAAACAGCGTTTCCTTTATCACATTGGCGATGAAAAATGGTGTCTTTGCATCAATATGAAGCAGCGTAAAGTATGGCTCAGCTTCAATAAGCATACGACACCTCGAGCAAAACAAGACCTTATTTCTCGAAAGACCATTTTGTGTGTATGCTGGGAGGACTGGGACGGCGTAATTCATTATGGATTGCTTGAGCGAAACCAAACGGTAAATGCCGGGCTCTACGTTCAACACCTACAGCACCTCCGGGCAGCAATTCAGCAAAAAAAGACCGAATCGGTAACAATGTTCTTCTTCCACACAACAACGCCCGTTCTCACATCGCCAATGTGACCAAAACCGTTATTCAAGAATTTCGATGGGAAGTGTTGCCTCATTCTCCGTGCTCGCCAGACTTGGCACCATCAGAATTTCATCTTTTTCGATCTCTCTTCAATGCTTAAGGTGGTGTAGCGTTCAATAAATCCTTACATGATAATCGTTAGAATGAACTCTTTGCTATGGTACCTAGAGTTTATAATTTGGCAACAAGGTCCCGTCAATTTAGAATTGAACTGGATAGTTGTAGCCGTAATTTCCTTGCTAAGAGTTTTTTTTTTTCAATCGCACTTCTCGGTTCTGGAACTCTCTTCCGGCTCCAAGGTTTCCGCTAACTTTGATCTTCAAAAATTTAAATTCGATATCAATTGTTATTTACTGTCTTCCTGATTACTCTTCTGTTGTTCTCGCTCCATAAATCCAGAAATTTTTACGTTGCAACAGCGCCGTGACGTCACTGCTGTGGAGAGCCTTCGCGCTGACCAGGAAATCATTGAATGGCTTAAATACCCTAATACCAACGTTTTTCTACCTTCCTACAGATTGCAGCTGAAAGGCAGCTTCACATGATGGTGAGAAGAAAAAGTGTGTAAATGAATCTTTCCATCCAAAACAATTGCACTCGTTGGCATTCATCGATACTTAATGATCATTTACGGAGACCAAACACTAGATGTGAGCACAGTTAGGAAATGCGTAATGCATTTCAGCAATTGCGACAATTGCTTATCCTAGGGGAGTTATTTACGAACGCAGCATGCAGACCCTTGTTAATCGCAGATATTGAAAACAACATTTTCGTCAGAAAACATGCACTATCCAGCAAGCGTGTTTTGTGCTTCTCCTCCGTTAGAGCTTCCATAGAATTAATAGGAGGCATTACTTTCGGGGTGTCGCCTATATTATTATTATTATTATTATTATTATCTCAATAAAATATATTGCTACAGTGTGGTGCAGATAAATCCAGAATTTTTACGTTGCAACAGCGCCGTGATGTCTCAACGTAGCGAGGTTTCGAGACCGACATTAGAAAGTTCTGAACCTCAGTAGTTGTCTGACCATTGACGTATTGTCAAGGAGGTTTTGATTACTTGACATTCCATTTTAGGGGTCTAAAATAGAACCAAAAAGTAATGAAATTAAAAAAAATCATATATATATATATATATATATATATAAATTTTTGAAAACGAGAACAAATTGTTGTTCTGAAATATTCACCAAATGTTTGACTTCTTAAAGCGTTTTTGCTTTCAAAAAAACGCTTCCTACGTATTGGGGGATACGTAGGAAGCGTAAAAATAGAAAAGGCAAAAAACTTTGAAAGGTAAAGAAAATGACTGTCGATATGCCAGGAAAAAAATTCTTCTTTGGATTTTATCAAGAACCTCTAAAAGTATATCAGGAACACCGGACCTAATGTGACAGTAATAATCTAAGCATAGATAGATTCTAGTGAGAAAATTCGTCTTGTCCGTCACAGTGAATCAACTTTCTTAGCAGCATAACTGTCAATCCAATCGAGAAGGCACCACGAGTCATACACGTGGAGGTTAACATCAGCCATGCTGATGGAAGGAAGACAGAAGTCTCTCAGATGATTAATGGAGAGAGCTTTTTATTCTTGTCTTCAAAGCTAGATACCATGTCTTAAAATAAATACCATTATATCCATCATGTCAGCCATCTTCCTACATCCTTTTCCGGCGGTAACTTTCCCGCTCTTTCACGAATCAAAACCATCCGTATCCAGCGCCCACTTTTATTATTTTTGCAGTTTGACGTATATATTTTTATTTTTTATTTTTCAGGTATATTTTTTGTTTATTTTTTTTTATTGTTCTATGGCTTCTCTTGTCTTTTTTTTTTTTTTCTCCTTTTCGTTATATCTGTTCTGCTTGGTGCTTTGGTTATTTCCATTCTTTGTCCTTTCCGTTTGGAATCGAGCAAGAACTTACTATCTTCCTGGAAATCATTGACATAAGTTCTGGAGACAGTGATTAAAATCTGTACCGAATAGTGCCGTCTCGTTTTTACAAGGTTAGCCTCAGGACGAAAAGCACAAGAACTGCCGATAATATTCCTATCTCGAATTCTTTCTTTCTCCTTTCTTTCTCCCTTCTTATACTTTTTCTTTCTTTTACTCACTCTGTCATTCTTGATTTCATTATTTTTCTCTAACACTCTTTATGTATATCACTACATTTCTTCCTCTCTTTCGGGAATTTCTCTCTCCTCCCCTCCTTTTCACCATCCCATGCCTTTTTTTTCTTTCCTTTTTTTTTTAATCCTCACTTTCGATTCCCCTTTTTTACTCTTTCTTTTTCCCATTTTTGCCCTCTATTCCCGCCTTTTTCTCGTTCTCATTCACTTTTTACGTCTTCAATTCCCGCCTTTTTCTCTTGCAATTTCTCTTTCCCTTTTCTTTCGCCCTCCTTTTCTCCATCTCTTTCCATCTCGTCCTCCCTTTCATTTTTCTTTTCTCCCTCTTGTACTGTTTCTTTTTTATTCCACTCTTTCTCTCTTTCTTCACCCAACTTTTATTCCTTTTCTTTCTTCTTGTCTTTTTTTTCTCTTTTTGTCTTTACATCGCCCTTTCCCTCGTTTTCTCTCATTCTTTTCTCTTCCACGCCACTGTTTTTCCTCTTTGTCTCTCTCGCCTATTTCGAAATATTCTTCAGTTTTTCAAATTATTCTTTTAGAAATGTGCTCTTCTTTGCATTTTTGCTTTTGCTTCTCCTTCTTTGCATTTTTGCTTTTGCTTCTCCTTCTTTGCATTTTGCTTTTGCTTCTCCTTCTTTGCATTTTGCTTTTGCTTCTCCTTCTTTGCATTTTTGCTTTTGCTTCTCCTTCTTTGCATTTTACTTTTGCTTCTCCTTCTTTGCATTTTTACTTTTGCTTCTCCTTCTTTGCATTTTTGCTTTTGCTTCTCCTTCTTTGCATTTTGCTTTTCATTCTTTGCAATTTTTTACTTTTGCTTTTCCTTCTTTGCATTTTTGCTTTTGCTTCTCCTTCTTTGCATTTTGCTTTTGCTTTCCTTCTTTTGCATTTTGCTTTTTGCTTCTCCTTCTTTGCATTTTTGCTTTTGCTTCTCCTTCTTTTGCTTTTTTGCTTTTATTCTCCTTCTTTGCTTTTGCTTTTGCTTTTTTTTACTTTTGCTTTTGCTTCTCCTTCTTTTTTTACTTTTTGCATTTTGCTTTGCTCCTTCTTTGCATTTGCTTTTGCTCCTTCTTTGCATTTTTTTTTTATTGTTTGCTTTTACTTTTAGCTTCACTCCTTCTTTTCTTTGCATTTTGCTTTTTGCTTCTTCCTTTTGCTTTTTGCTTCTCATTTTTGCATTTTTTGTTTTGCTTTTTTTGCATTTTTGCTTTTCTCCTTCTTTGCATTTTGCTTTTGCTTCTCCTTCTTTGCATTTTGCTTTTGCTTCTCCTTCTTTGCATTTTTTTTTTTTCCTTCTTTGCATTTTTACTTTTGCTTCTCCTTCTTTGCATTTTTGCTTTTGCTTCTCCTTCATTGCATTTTTTTTTTTTCACCTTCTTTTTGCATTTTGCTTTTTTCTTCCTTCTTTTCATTTGCTTTTGCTTCTCCATCTTTGCATTTTTGCTTTTAGCTTCCTTCTTTTGCATTTTACTTCTTTTCTTTGCATTTTACTTTTGCTTCTCCTTCTTTGCTTTTACCTTTGCATTCTTTGCATTTTACTTTTCTTCTCCTTCTTTGCATTTTTACTTTTTTTCACCTTCTTTATAATTTGCTTTTGCTTCCTTCTTTTCATTTTGCTTTGCTTCTCATCTTTGCATTTTACTTTTTTTACTTTTTGCTTCTCCTTCTTTGCATTTTTGCTTTTGCTTCTCCTTCTTTGCATTTTGCTTTTGCTTCTCCTTCTTTGCTTTTTACTTTTGCTTCACCTTCTTTGCATTTTTACTTTTGCTTCTCCTTCTTTGCATTTTGCTTTTGCTTCTCCTTCTTTGCATTTTGCTTTTGCTTCCTTCTTCTTTTTTTTGCTTTTTTTGCATTTGCTTTTTCTCCTTCTTTGCATTTTTTCCTTCTTTGCATTTTTTCTTTTTGCTTCTTTCTTTGCATTTTTTGCTTCACTTTCTTTTGTTTTTATTTTTGCTTCTTTCTTTGCATTTTGCTTTTCTTGTTCTCCTTCTTTGCATTTTGCTTTTTCTTCTCCTTCTTTTTTTACATTTTGCTTTTTTGCATTTACTTTTCCTCCTTCATCTTTTTGCTTTGCTTCACCTTCTTTGCATTTTACTTTTTATTTTTCATTTTTTTGCTTCTCCTTCTTTGCATTTTTGCTTTTTTCACCTTCTTTGCATTTTACTTTTAGCTTCCCTTCTTTACATTTTTGCTTTTGCTTCTTTATTTTTCTTCTCCTTCTTTGCATTTTTTCTTTTGCTTCTCCTTCTTTTCATTTTACTTTTTTCACCTTCTTTTCATTTTACTTTTTGCTTCAGGTATTATCATTTATAGATTCTCCTTTCATTTCTTTTGCTCCTTTTTGCATTTTTTTACTTTTTCTCCTTCGTATCCTTTTTTTCATTCACCTTTGCATTTTACTTTTGTTTCTCCTTCTTTTCATTTTAGATCCCTTTTTATCTTTCCTTCTTTTGCATTTCTTTTTTTTCTCCTTCAGCTCGTTTTCCTTTTTCCTTTCATTCACTTCTTTGCATTTTACCTTTTATTTCTTCTTTTATCATTTTAGATTTTTTATCTTTCTCCTTCTTTTTTACATTCTTTGCTCGTCCTTCTTTCTTTTTTTCATTCTCTACTTTGCATTTTACTTTTGATTTCTTCAGGTTTGCATTTGATTTTGCTAGATCCCTTTTATCTTTTGCTTCTTTCTTTGCATTTCTTTTTTCCTTCTTTGCATTTTTCTCCTTTTCATTCACTCCTTCTTTGCATTTTTGCCTTTTCTTTCTTTCTTTGTATTTTTATTTTTAGATCCCTTTTTATTTTTTTTGCTTTTCTTTTTACCGTCCTTCTTTGCTTTCCTTCTTTGCATTTTTTGCTTTTTGCTTCTCCTTCTTTGCATTTTTACCTTCGATTTCTTCAGGTATTCTCCTTCTTTGCATTTTTTTTATTTTCTTCTCTTTCTTTGCATTTCTTTTACTTTCTCTTCAGCTCCTTTTTTTTTTTGCTTCTTTCTTTGCATTTTTACCTTTTTCTTTTATTATCATTTTTAGATCTTTTTTTTCTTTTCTTCTTTGCATTTTTTTGCTTTTACCTTCTTTGCATTCAGCTTTTATCCTTCTCCTTTCTTTTCATTTTGCTTTGCTTTTACCTTCTTTTCTTTTAGGTATTATCATTTCTTTCCATTTTTGCTTTTTTCTTTTCTTTGCATTTTTACTCCATTTTACTTTCCTTCTCATTCTTTTCATTTTATTTTTACTCCTTTTTGCATTTTCTTTTTCTTCTCCTTCTTTGCATTTTACTTTTATATCTTCTCCTTCTTTGCATTTTAGATTTTTTATTCTTTCTTTTTGCATTTTTTTTCTTCTCACTTCTTTGCATTTTTCACTTTTGCTTCTTTCTTTCTTCAGGTATTATCATTTATAGATCTCCTTTATTTTTCATTTTTTTTTTTTCTTTTACTTCTTTTCATTTTATCTTTTTTTTATTCACCTTCTTTGCATTTTTACTTTTGTTTCTTTTTGCATTTTCATTTATAGATCTTTGCATTTTATTTTTTCACCTCTTCTTTGCATTTTTTTGCTTCTCCTTTATCTTCTCCTTTTTGCATTTTGTTTTTCTTCTTTTTTTACATTTTGCTTTTGCTTCACTTTCTTTGCATTTTTATCTTTTATAGATCCTTTTTGCATTTTTCTTTTTGCTTCACCTTTTTGCATTTTTACTTTTGCTTCAGCTTCTTTGCATTTTTCTTTTCACTTCTTTTGCATTTTACTTTTGTTTCTTCTTCTTTGCATTTTACTTTTGATCCCTTCTTTGCATTTTATTTTTTCTCTTCTTTGCATTTTTTGCTTTTGCTTCTCCTTCTTTCATTTTTTTTTTTACTTTTTCAGATTCTCCTTCTTTCACTATTTGCTTTTTTACTTTCCTTCTTTTCCATTTTCTTTTATTCTTTTTTTTTTTTCACTTTTTTGCATTTTTTCTTTAGCTTCTCCTTCTTTGCATTTTTTATCCTTTCCTTTCATTCTTTTTTTGCTTTTGCCTACTTCTTCGATTTTACTTTTGGTATTCTTTGCATTTTTGCTTTCTCCCTTCTTTATCTTTCAATTCTTTTTTTGCATTTTGCTTTACCGTTTCTTCTTCTCGTATTTTTTCCTTCTTTTGCTTTGCATTTTACCTTCAATTTCTTCAGGTTTATCATTTTTAGATCCCTTTTTCTTTCACTTTTTTTGCATTTCTTTTACCTTCTTTGCTTTTTCTTTTATCTTCACCTTTTTTTTTACTTTGCATTTTACCTTCTTCTTTGCATTTTTGCTTTTTTATTTTTTTATTTTTTTTGCTCCTTCTTTGCATTTTTCACTTTTACTCTCCTTCTTTGCATTTTATCTTTTGCTTCTCCTTCTTTCACTTTTGCATTTTACCTTCCTTTTTTCCAGGTATTATCATTTATAGATTTTTTTTTTTCTTTCAATTCTTTGCATTTCTTTTACCTTCTTTTCATTTTTTATCCTTTCCTTCTTTGCTTTCATTCCTTCTTTGCATTTTACCTTCGATTTCTTCAGGTATTATCTTTATATTTTTGCTTTTTATCTTTCACTTCTTTGCATTTCTTTTACCGTCTCTTCAGCTTTATCTTCTTCTTTCATTCACCTTTTTACTTTCGATTTTTTCATTTTTATTATCATTTTCTTTCCCATTTTTTTTGCTTTCCTTCTTTGCATTTTTTTTACCGTCTCTTCAGCTCTTTGCCTTTTTTTCCTTTCATTCACTTCTTTGCATTTTTACCTTTTGATTCTCCTTCTTTGTATTTTCATTTTAGATCACTTTCTTTCTTTTTTCTTTGCATTTCTTTTTTTCTTCAGCTTTGTATCTCCTTCTTTGCATTTTACTTTGCATTCTTTTTTGCCTTCGATTTCTTCTTTTTCATTTCTAGATCCCATTTTATTTTCACTTTTTCTTCTTTACCGTCTTTTCAGCTCGTTTCCTTCCTTTCTTTCATTTTGCTTTTGCTTTTCCTTCTTTTCTTCAGGTATTATCCTTTTTGCATTTTTACTTTTTATCTTTCACGTTTTGCATTTCATTTTTTTCTGTCTCTTCAGCTCGTATTTCCTTCTCCTTCTTTCATTTTACTTTTGCTTTTTACCTTCTTTCTTTTTTTTCTTCTCCTTCTTTCCTTTTTTATCTTTCACCTTCTTTGCATTTCTTTTTACCGTCTTTTCAGCTTGCTATCCTTTCTTCTTTCTTTCACTATTTTGCATTTACCTTCATTTCTTCTTTGTATTATCATTTATAGATTCTTTTTTATTTTTCTTTTTTCTGCTTTTCTTTTACTTTCTCTTCAGCTCGTATCCTGCTTTTCTTTCTCCTTCTTTGCATTTTTCTTTTGATTTTTTTTACTTTTGCTATTATCTTTGCATTTTATTTTTCTCTTCATTTCTTTGCATTTCTTTTTCTTCTTCTTTCATTTTACTTTTCCTTTTTTTTCATTCTTTTTTGCATTTTACCTTCCTTTCTTTTTTTATCATTTATAGATCCTTTTTATTTTCTTTTCTTTGCATTTTTTGCTTTTACTTCTCCTTCAGCTCATTTTTTCCTTTCATTCACTACTTTTGCTTTTTTCCTTCTTCTTTGCATTTTCTTTCAGGTATTTTGCATTTATAGATCCCTTTTTATTTTTCACTTTTTGCTTTTCCTTTTTGCATTTTTCTTTTTCTCGTATCTTTTCCTTTTACTTTTGCTTCTCCTTCTTTGCATTTTTTCCTTCGATTTCTTCTTCTTTATTTTTTTTAGATCTCCTTCTTTGCTTTTGCTTTTTGCATTTTTTTCTCTTCATTTTCTGCTTTTTCCTGTTTTACCTTTTGCTTCTTTTTTTTTCATTTATTTTGCTTCTCCTTCTTTGCATTTTTTTTTTCCTTCAGCTTGATTTTTCAGGTTCACTTCTCATTTTTTGATTTTGCTTTTATCCATTTTTTTGCATTTCTTTGCATTTCTTTTTCTTCTCTTCTTTGCATTTTGCTTTTGAAAATCACCTTCTTTGCATTTTACCTTCGATTTCTTCTTTGGTATTATCATTTATAGATCCCTTTTTGCATTTTTCAATTCCTTGCTTTTCTTTTTACTTTTCTTCAGCTCTTCTTTGCCTTTCATTCACTTCTTTGCATTTTACCTTCGATTTCTTCTTCTTTGCATTTTAGATCCCTTTTATCTTTCAATCTTTGCATTTCTTTTTACTTTTTCAGCTCTTCTTTGCCTTTTGCTTTTGCTTCTCCTTCTTTGCATTTTACTTTGATTTCTTCAGGTTTTTAGATTTTTATTTTCTTTTCTTTTGCATTTTTGTACTTTCTTTGCATTTTTCCTTTTTCTTCCTCTTTGCATTTTTGTTTTTTCTTGCATTTTACTTTTGCATTTTCTCCTTCTTTCTTTTAGATCATTTTATCTCCTTTTTGCATTTTTTTACTTTTTCTCCTTCTATCCTTTTGCTTTTTTCTCCTTCTTTTTTTGCATTTTACCTTCTTTGCATTTTATTCTTTTATTATCATTTTTAGATCCCTTTTATCTTTCATTTCTTTGCATTTCTTTTTCACCTTCTTAGCTTTTCAGCTTCTTTCCTTTCCTTTTTTCACTTCTTTGCATTTTTTTTGATTTCTTCAGGTATTTTCATTTATTCCTTTTTTGCATTTTACTTTTTTCTTGTACTTTGCATTTTCAGCTTGTATCCTTTCTTTTTCATTTTACTTTTGCACTCCTTTGCATTTTACCTTCTTTTCATTTTTATTTTCATTTATAGATCCCATTTTTTTCTTTCCTTTTTGCATTTCTTTTCTTTGTCATTTTCAGCTTTATCCTTCTCCTTCTTTTTTTTGGTTTTTGCTTTTTTCTTTGCATTTCTTTTGGTTCTTTTCATTTTATTTTTTTTTCTCCTTCTTTGCTTTTGCTTTTCTTTTCCTTCTTTTCATTTTGTATCCTTTCCTTTCCTTCTTTGCATTTTTTTACCTTCTTTGCATTTTGCTTTTGCTTCTCATTTATAGATCTTTTTTTTCTTTCTTTGCAATTCTTTTGCATTTTTTTACTTTTAAATTGCTTCTCCTTCTTTACTTTTGCTTTTACTTCCCTTTTTGCATTTTTCCTTTTTCTCCTTCTTTGCATTTTTGCTTTTGATTCTCCTTCTTTGCATTTTGCTTTAGCTTCACCTTTTTTATGTTTTTTCCTTTCATTCTTTTTGCATTTTTTCCTTCACCTTCTTTGCATTTTGCTTTTGCTTCTCCTTCTTTGCAATTTGCTTTGCTTTTCTTCACCTTCTTTTTTCATTACTTTTCCTTCTCCTTTCTTTTTTTTACTTTTTGCATTTCTTTGCATTTTTTTTGCTTCATCTTCTTTGCATTTTTACTTTTATTCACCTTCTTTGCATTTTACTTTTGCTTCACCTTCTTTGCATTTGCTTTTTATCCTTCTCCTTCTTTACATTTTTTTTACTTTTCCTTCTTTGCATTTTTCTTTTCTTTCTCCTTCTTCTTTGCATTTTTTCAGGTTTTACTTTTTACTTCTCTTCTTTATCTTTTACTCCTTCTCTTTTTGCTTTTACATTCTTTACTTTTTTGCATTTTACTTTTAGCCTTCTTTCTTTGCATTTTTACTTCTCCTTCTTTGCTTTTACTTTTTATCTCTCCTTCTTTGCATTTTTTTTATTTCTTTCTTTGCATTTTGCTTTTGCTTCTCCTTCTTTTTTACTCACCTTCTTTGCATTTTACTTTTGCTTTTCTTTGCATTTTGCCTTTTGCCTTCTTTGCATTTTGCTTTTAAGCCTTTTTGCTTTTTCTTTTGCTTCTCCTTCTTTGCATTTTTACTTTTGCTTCACCTTCTTTGCATTTTTCTTTTTGTTTTCCTTCTTTGCATTTTTGCTTTTGCTTCACCTTCTTTGCATTTTGCTTTTGCTTCTCCTTCTTTATTTTTACATTTGCTTCTTCTTTGCATTTTTACTTTTGCTTCTCCTTCTTTGCATTTTACTTTTATTCCTTCTTTGCATTTTTTTACTTTTGCTTCTCCTTCTTTGCTTTTTCTTTGCATTTTGCTTCTCCTTCTTTGCATTTTTGCTTTTTCTTCTTTTGCTTTTGCTTTCAGCTTCTTTGCATTTTGCGTTTGCTTCATCTTCTTTGCTTTTGCTTTGCATTTTCTTTGCATTTTCTTTTGCTTCTCCTTCTTTTTATTTTGCTTTTCTTTGCATTTCTTCTCCTTCTTTGCATTTGCAAAAATTTTTCTTTGCATTTTACTTTTTGCTTCTCCTTCTTTGCATTTTGCCGTCTTTGCTTTTTTGCTTTTGACACTCCTACCCCCTCCACTTCTGACATACACACTTAATTTTATGGGTTTTCTACTTGTTCCTATTTCTACAATTAACTAATAATGAACCAATGGCGGACAAGTATACGATTTTTGTAGAGAAATAAATATATATCAGATTAAACTGCGTATTTTACTAGTACGTAAACATCGTTCTTCTTCTATTTCTTTTTTTCTTCTTCTTCTTTTTTTTCCTTTTTTTCTTCTTCTTCTTTTTTTCTTTTTCTTCTTCTTCATTTTCTTTTTCTTTTTCTTCTTTTTCTTTTCTTCCTTTTCTTTTTCTACTGTTTCTTCTTCTTTTTCCTTTTCTTCTTCTTCTTCTTTTCTTCTTATTGTTTTTCTTCTTCCTTTTCTTCTTCTTCTTTTTTTCTTCTTCTTTTTCTTGTTCTTCCTTTTCTTCTTCTTCTTTTTCTTCTTCTTCCTTTTCTTCTTCTTCTTCTTCTTCTTCTTTTTCTTCTTCTTTTTCTTGGTCTTCCTTTTCTTCTTCTTCTTCTTTTCCTTTTCTTCTTCTTCTTCTTCTTCTTCTTCTTCTTCTTCTTCTGTGCGACATCAACGATCATGGCTCTCGAACGCTTCCCTTGTGTCTCGTAACAGTTTTTTTTTAAATTTTGCTACGTTTCCCGCCCTCGTTCCTCCACCCATTCACACAAGCTCATCTGGTAGGTAGATGGCTTCCTTCTCCTATCTCTCTTAGCCTGTCCCGTGAGTGTTACGTTTTCCAAGTCCTCTTTCATCATTATGCGTCCAAGGAGTATCAACCTCCGGTTCACACTCCTCCCCGGAGTTTTGAACAGGAGTAGCGGTATATTTTTGTTTGTTTAGGATTGGGTCTCATGTTCTTTCTAAACGTCGTTCATTCTCTTTCATTCCCAATAACCCCTTGCATCGTAGTGGCATTATCGTCTTTCTTGGGGTGAATTGATTAAAAAAAAAAAAAAAAAAAAAAAGGAAAACAGCTTCGGCTCTTAAACGAATTTATAAGATAATACCAATATCAATTTAATTCAAAAAATCTCAACAATTTTCTTACTTCAACATTTTTCTAACCGCCAACACCTATATATATATAAAAAATGCGAATGTTAGTGAGTCAAAATTTTTCAAATTACACCTAAAGACTGTTTCCCCAAATAGCATTTAGGCCAACTCCATGAGAAAATTGAAAAACATTCCCGGTCGGATCCAGACCTGTAATCCTGAAATTTTAGGTTCCCATGTTTTATTATTGTGATTTTCTACGTGAGTTTTTGCGACGAAGTTTTTTGTCTGATAACAATTTTTATAACTTGGAAATAAATTTGGGAATAATCGAAATTAACTTCAAAATCCAGCGAAATTCACCCATGGAATAAAGATAATTATTTGTACGGAAAATAAGGACCTACGTACATCACATTATCTTTAAATTAAGTGGCAGCAGCAGAATTATCGTTGAACTTTCCAAAAGGTAAGTTTAAATATTAATGCAATACTTAAATGCAGCGATCAATTTTGAGTTCTATAGTTTATTGCTGCCTAGCGCATACGGCAGCAGTATGGCTCGCAAAAAGAAATCTCCGCCAACAGAGGACCAGATTGCAATCAAAAGAGCCAAGGTTGCAGCGAGGAAAAGAAAGACCCGTTCAAATGAGAACCCAGATGAAACGACAGCCAGGAGAGGTTCCAATGCTGAGAATAGGCAAAGACTTAGGAACTCTCAAACTCCTGAACAAGAAGGAAGGCCCGATCAAGAATCTTCCGTAGGAATTAGGTTTAATCCCGACCGATAGGGTCACTTTTAAGTTTTACTAACAGCATGGCTCCGGCGTTGCTCGTGCTTGATTCAAAAATCGTTTGACTCATACAGCAAGCGCTATCACTTGACTTAAGATATTTTTGCCCTTCCTTGCCTTTAAAGGAGTGCCCTTTGCCGTGCTGATGTTGCTACATGCCTTACTTCTTGCCTATCTCACACTGCGAATTTTTTCTAAGTTCTATACTAAACATTAAATCTGTTACGAAAAAAGAACTAAACAAAATGAACACAAAACGATCAGCTTTAAAAAAGGACTCATAACTGGAAAAAACCGAATGAAAAAAGAATGTTAACAACAAATACTTTTTCACACCCAAACCCAGTTCTGCGGAATCAGAATCAACGTTGAGTTTAAGCAGGCGAATGAGCCAATTGGAGTAAAGTGCCATGCAGATTTAAATTTTTCCCACTTGTGACGAATGCAGATATCGATTCTTTTTTGCATACTAGTTAACATTCATGTCAGTCAGCTGTTGGCTCTCACGCTGGCCAATAGAATCTTCCTGCCTATTCGTGGCAGCCAGCTTTAGGCTCTCACTCTGGCCAGTAGAAAATGGCCGCAAACTACATGAAAACTACCGTAGAAGCATGAAAAAATCGATTATTTCAACTATCGATGGGAGTTGGGAAATGCAAAGTCGGTCTTGGACTTCCCGCTAACTGTAAATGTACATGTAAATTTTGGTTACAAATCTGTCGAAAATTGCGGCCGTGCATTCGTTACACACACACACACACACACACACACACACACACACACACACACACACACACACACACACACACACATCCTGCCTTTTATATATAGAGATTGCATATTTTTCGAATATTTATGAAATATAAAAAATCTTTCCGTTCCTCTTTTGTTACTAAACACTTTGGTATACGAACGATTTATGGTTAAATGTTACAAATCGCTAACGAGAATATAGATTTGTTATTTTTTATGTTAAAATTTTCAAAAAAACATTTAATTTCCGTACATATATTGTACAAAAAATATTTGTAAAATTAATTTAGAATATTAAGCAGTTCAAAGGTGTGTGGAATTATGTTTAATTGAAGGCGACCAGTAAGAATAACATGGCTACCATCTGGGAATATTTGACTAGAAAAAAAAGCGGGAATTATAATCTTTTGACTTCTTTCAAGGTGTAATTTAACGTTTTAGCGACAGATAACATTGCAAACACACTGAATTACAAATTCAACTTTTTAGTCAGGTAGGCATACTTTGATATTTTAATGTTGATATTTTCACGTCTTGAAGCAAGATGGCACGTAAAAGAAAGAGGGGGGAAAGTGAGGGAGAAAGAGAGGGAGAGAGAAAGAAAGGGAGAGAGAGTAGAGTTATCAAGGAATAAGTATTACTTAAAGCATCAAAAGACAGAAAGCTGTGGAGAATCATGATCGTCTACAACCTGAAGGAATATATTAAATGAAAACAAAGTGAGAGACTATCTATTGGCAAGTTGGAGCAAAATCATGGAAGAAGAGTTAGGACAAAAACAAGGCAGATTCATAAAGAGGCTAATATCATTGAGATCAATAAATGAAACAGTGGAGTGCCGTTATCAACCAATTCCTGTCGATTCCGCGAATTAAATATTCATGATTTTAAGAGACCATCTTTGAGGAATTTCTCTCATTGCCGAAGTCTCTGTTTTGGTTAAACGTTACAAGACATTTAAGCCGTGTGCTATCAGTCTTTGATTTGACTGAAAAAAAAAGTTCGCAAGCTGGACTCATTTCTATCTTGACTATTTTTTTTCTTATTTGTCTTTTTTTTTTTCGCTATCCGCTTCTTGCGTCACTTTATCGTGTCATTTTTAATATGGCTAACGTTTCATCCGCGATTATCCAATCTACATGCAATTTAGGCCGCTATTCCAGATTGTTTACAACCACGCCCTGTAGAGACATGACACCTAGAAAAAGAGAGAGAGAGAAAAAAAAGCGAGGGGTGATAAAATAGGGCAATAACAACGAGGGGGTAATATTGCAACAAGAATTACGCCTGATGCATGTAAATATGCGTTTTACTGACCCGGGGTGGTAGCACCTGTTAGTGTCCCAGCTATGGGCAAAATAGTGAATCCCCAAACTTGGATCAAAATATTATGAACGTATAAACATAGATTTTTGTAGTAACAATACCAGCAAAGCATTTTCATAGTAAAAAAATACTAGCAATACAATTCCATAGTAAAAAAATACTAGCAATACAATTTCATAGTAAAAAAAATAACTATCAATACAATTTCATAGTAAAAACAAATAATAGCAATACAATTTCATAGTTAAAAAAATATTAGCAATACAATTTCATAGTAAAAAAATAACTACCAATATAATTTCACAGTAAAAAAAATACTAGCAATACAATTTCATAGTTAAAAAAATACTAGCAATACAATTTCATAGTAAAAGAAATAACTATCAACAAATTTCATAGTTAAAAAAAATACTAGCAATACAATTTCATAGTAAAAAAATACTAGCAACACAATTTCATAGTAAAAAAATAATAGCAATACAATTTCATAGTGATAAAAATACTAGCAATACAATTCCATAGTAAAAAAATACTCTCAATACAATTTCATAGTAAAAAATAATAGCAATACAATTTCATAGTAAAACAAATACTAGCAATACAATTTCATAGTTAAAAAATACTAGCAATACAATTTCATAGTAAAAAAAATTACTATCAATACAATTTCATAGTAAAAAACATAATAGCAATACAATTTCATAGTAAAAAATACTAGCAATAAAATTTCATAGTAAAAAAATTACTATCAATACATTTTCATAGTAAGAAATACTAGCAATACAATTTCATAGTAAAAAAATACTAGCAATACAATTTCATAGTAAAAAAAATACTAGCAATACAATTTCATAGTAAAAAAATACTAGCAATACAATTTCATAGTAAAAAATACTAGCAATACAATTTCATAGTAAAAAATACTAGCAATACAATTTCATATTAAAAAAAATACTAGCAATACATTTTTGAAAAAATATAAACGAAAGCTCCAAAGAAAATTAAATTTCAGCATTAAAGATACCATGAGGAGTTGAGATACTAAACCAAATTTAAGCAAACCAAACCAAATGTTACTTTTTCAGTGTATCCAAAATTCATATTTTCAAAAGAAAGGATGATTTTCAACATATATATAAATAAAGAAAATTGGATCGTCTAAGAACAGACGATATCACCCGCCTTATTTTCACGTCTGGAAGCAAAATGGCACGTAGTAGAGAGAGAGAGTGAGGGGGAAAGTGAGGGAGAAAGAGAGGGAGAGAGAAAGAAAGAGAGGAACAAAGCCCAAACACACACACACACACACAGATTAGAGTTATAAAGGAATAAGTATTACTTAAAGCATCAAAAGACAGAAGGCTGTGGTGAACCATGATCGTCTACAACCTGAAGGAATATATTACATGAAAACACAGAGAGAGAGAGGGGGGATGGAGAGAGAGAGAGCGGGGGGAGAGAGAGAGGGAGGTAGAGAGAGAGGGGGAGAGGGAGAGAGAGAGAGAATGAGTAGCTATTGTCAAGTTGGAGGAAATTCATGGAAGAACAGTTAGGACAAAAACAAGGCAGAGTCATAAAGAGGCTAACATCATTGAAATCAATAAATGAAAGTGTGGAGTGCCGTTATCAACCAATTCCTGTAGATACACACGAGCACACACACACATACACACACACATAAAATGCGATAAAGCGAATCGAGTTCTCTCAGTCATTGTGTGTTTATCTAAAAATAAATACGCTTAAATTCAGCT